AATAATAATAATAATAATAATAATAATAATAATAATAATAATGAAGCCCTTTTTTTAAGTTCCAAATTGTTAAAACAATAAATCAGAATATGAGAGTATGTGAAAAGTGTGTAGAGATTTGTCAAAGTTCATGATGTCAACAACTCATTATTCTTTTCACATCAAATTGTTTAATGGGTTTTAGAATGTTTGTTTTAATAAATTTTATCAATTATGTAGTGATCATGTTAGTCAAATATGGAAATTCGAAGTTTGAGTATATTCTTCTTCACGATTAAATGATTATCGTAATATATTTCGTTGTTTGAAACGAATTTCATGTGACAAAAATTAGTATATTAACACTTTAGATGTTTTTTGAAGTACCATGCCTACCACAGGGAACCAACGTAGTCATCGAAGACAACAATTAGGATTATTTTAGATGATGGTCATGCAAGCAATTGTACTATATAATACCGTCAGGCGTCGTAGTCGCCAACTCCCTAGAGCCCCACATAGGAACTGGGATTTTGAAAGAGAAATGACACTTACACGGATGTTTGGTATGAGTGATAGAATTTTTCATGATCTATTCAGAATGAAGATAGCTCCGTTTCAAAGCTTATGTGCTCATTTACGAACATATGGCTTGGTTGACAATAGATCTGTCAAAGTAGAGGAACAGGTGGCTATATTTCTCAACACCGTTGGACATGACCACCGTAATCGAATTGGAAGTTTTATGTTCTTTAGGTCTGGTCAAACAGTGAGTTACTATTTCCATAGAGTTTTACAGGCTTGCCTTGGATTGTACAAAGATGTTGTTAATAATGCCACTATTCATAACTCACCACACCAAAAGGATAAGGTGAAGCCATGGTTCCAATATTTTCAGGTCGGGTGGTAACATTTAACTTTGTTCATTTTTCCTTCACTATTAGTATTCCGTTTATAACCGGACTTTTTGGTTTTCATATCAAGATTCTGTGGGGGCAATCGACGGTACTCACATTCCTGCAAATGTCCCCATAGAGGAACAAGCAAGGTATCGCAATAGGAAGCAAATGATAACTCAGAATGTTTTGGTGGCTTGCACATTTGATATGAAGTTCACGTATGTGCTTGCCGGTTGGGAAGGATCTGCCCATGACGGTCGATTATTACAGAGCGCAACTTTATGACAAGGTCATAGGCTAACAATTCTTGTTGGTAAGATGTACATCTTGTTTGATAATTTATCTTTCACTTCTTTCAATAACGAACGACAACTTAACAACCATGTGTGGACTAGGTAATTATTATCTGGCTGATGCTGGATTTCCATTGGTTTCGGGATTTCTTGCACCCTACCGTCGGACTCGGTACCATCGTAGAGACATTGAGGAACATCGGCCTGAAAGCAAGAAAGAGGAGAGTACGAATATCGTGTTGATTTTGGGGTGACACTCAAATTCGACATAAATATACAAAATGTTTTGAAGTGGCACTGTGTACGCGGTCCATTCATCACCATGAGAAATATCGAACGACATTTGAATACTGTCTCGAACGAACACGTTCAATGAGTAGACACAAGTAATGCAATTGAAGTATGTCACTGCTTCAATTTGGGCATTGATGGTCGAATTTACTCAACTGGGATCTTATAATTATTTACAAATTAACTTTTTTACTAAAATTTGGTAAAAACTTTTTGCTTCATTTTGATGCACATTTTCAGTACAACATCACGTGAATATATTCCCATATCCATCCAAACCATTTGCAAGGACTTTAGTGTGTGTCACGGAGACAGTGTCTCCGTGACACACACACACGGAGAAACTCTCTCCGTGACACACAGCAAGTGTGTCACGGAGACACTTACACACGTTTTTTTCTGTTTTATTGTTGTTCCAGGATGTGATTTTGTAAACAAAAATAACAATATAATCTACGATCAATTGTACACTTTTTTAAGTTCATCTTCTATATTGGGTGTGTCCCTTGAAATGAATAACACATCAGGTCGATCCCCGTTGTGTAGCGGCAAACACTAGTCGGGTCGGCAAATCATTCGCAAAACAAAAAAATAAATACATGCAAAATGATGAAAAATATCTAACACTTGTGTGGTTTAGAAGAAAAATATTGTTTTTAGTAGATTTTGGTAAAAAAATTTGATGAAATATGTAGTTTAAAAATTGTAAAATTAATGAAATATATAGGTCAAATTAATTTTTATTTTAATAAAATTTTATCAATTTTTGTAGTTCAATCAAATAGGAATTCCTTACAAAATGGCAATCAAACACCAATAGTTGGAAAATAAATACACTTTCCATGGAAAATAAAGCCAATCAAACACCAAAAGATGGAAAATTTCAACATTTTTCAGGTGAAAAATTTTACCAATCAAACACATTTAATAACAAATTCCCAGGAAAATGAATTCTAAGCAATTCAGTTTCCTAGAATTCGTTTTCTTTCCACCCAAATTTCATCTTTACAATCAAACGGACCCTTAGTATGTGTATGCACTGATTTGGTTTTGTAACATGCTATAGCACAACATATCCTTCACCTCGTCCAGTCCAACCTAGTATGCCCTTCCAAGGTTGTCCCCCATTTTTTCATGTATTCTACTTAATAGATTCGTTTGACAAGATTTTTCTTTTTTTTATAAAAGTGCTTATCGTGAAATCTATTATAAGGCAGCTTTCTTTAAGAGTTATTCCACTTTGACCAAGCATTTCTAACAAATTATCAGAACATTTTCAAAATCAATTTCTTAGCCCTTGTTTGATCCCCATTATTTGGAAAAAATAAATTCTTCTACAGTGTTTTAACATCATTTCAACCACACATTTTTCAACAAAATAATATTATACGCAAATTCAAAACATTTCCTTATTTTTCAACCATACATTTTCTATCAATATACTATTCAAAAATTCATTTTTCCTCTCAAACGTGGCTCAAACAAGGGCTTAATCTTATAAACAATTTTTAACTTTTAAAAAACCCAACAAAACAAACCATTAATCTATTGTCTTGCCAACGTGGGCTTGCTCATTTTGGTATATATGCCCTCACATCTACATATAGGTGATAATCATTACACTTCCCCAGTGATCACTTATTTACGATAATTAATTATAATAGATCTAATTTCTTGAGTATGTGAATATTTTGGTCATTTATGCCCTTTCCCCCAGCTTAATATATGACATTCGTATTCGCTCAAAAACTTAAGTTTTTATAAAGAAGTAATCTCTTTAATTGTATTTATGTATTGAACCCACTCAATATATTAATTTATCTAGTAAATTATAAGGAAATCTGGAGTTTGACCCTTAGAAATGCACTGATTAATTTCACACTTGAAAGAAAACTAGCAAATAGTATGTCAAAAATAAAAAATAAAAATAAAAAAACTCAATTGACTTTTGTGCATGGAAAGGGGGAAGTTTTTGTGCCAACGCTGTAGAAGCCCACAACCTTTGAACTTTTGTTAGATAGACAATGGTAACATTTGAATACCTGACTTGTGCAATGTTTTGATTAATTTATAATATTTTAAACTTTGAGAGATGAAAAGTTTATTAATTTATATTTTTCCAATATTACAAATGCTTAGTTTTCTGTGTTGGGTCTATACCAAATCACTCCTACAAATTTTTCCAATTCGAAAGCAAGAAGCTGTTAGCATCAAGCCTAGAGACGTTCTGTTATCAATTCAAACTTTTTCAAAAGCATCTCATCTTTCTCGTGGATGACAATATGATCCTCTTTTTGAAATGACTATAATGCCCATAGAATTTGAAAGGAACATGGTTCCTTGCTACAAAAATATCTAGTTTGTAAAATGTTCAAGCCTCCTTTAAGCAAATTTATAAATAGTTTCTAAAGAAAAAATAGTAAAAGAAAATATTACTGGATCCAATAAAATTTGATAATGCTACTCACACAAGCTTAAAAACAAGGATTTGAAATTGCCAATCTTGGAGGGAAAAGTTACAAATGTGGACCACACTTACAACACTCCTGTACTCCCAAACGTGGCATTAGTGTTTTGGAGGGAAAAACAAGCAGGTGTTGACAGAAAACTTATTTCCTTAAGCATGTTCATTTGAGAAGAAACATCATACAGCGGGCGGATACTGTGGATTCGTCGCAATCCATGTTGAAACCTAGTTAATAGGTAAAATTTGATCTTCACCCTTCTTACATTTTCGATATTTTCCCTGAATTATTCTTGTTTCCCTACTGCTCGAAACCCAGTTAATAGGTAAAAGTTGATCTTCACTCTTCTTCACATTTTCGACATCTTCATTTAGTTATTTTCATTTTCCTATTGCCTAAAACCCAGTTAATAGGTCAAAAAAATTGATCTTCACTCTTCTTCACATTGTCGACATTTTCGTTCAATCATTTTCGTTTCCCCGTTGCTCTAACTTCTCTTGGTTGGAGTCAGCTTATTTGTTTAATAAATTTAATGAGAGTAAGGAGATGCCAATGATTATTATTTGCCATTGCCTTTTGAATATGGAGTAGTATTTCCATCATTTTCCCTAATATAGGCATGATTAATTATTACATAAAAATCATTATTTTTATGCTAAAGCTACCCTCTTGTATTCTTTGCAGTACTATTTGTTCTCTTGTACTTGATATGTATTATCACTTGGGATACTTATTAGCCATGAAAATATTTGTTGTTGGAAATATTAAAAATGTTGGCAAAGTTAAACTTAATATGCACTATTTTGCTGTGAAAAAAGTTGTAGTCTATTTTAGAGATGTCATTGCATAGTATTGTAAAAGTTTGTTGAAACTGATTTCATTTTTATTTAATTTGTAGAGTGTGGAAGACATGCTAGACGAGCATGATGATGTGTTGGTAGAATCTAATAATGAGAACGTCATGGAGTCTGTGAACGTAGTCGAATGTGAACCATCGAAGGGGGGTGATTTAAATGTGCATGAGCTGGGTATACTATTCAAAGATGAAAAAGAAATGTATGAGTTTCATAAAAAAAATATGCCCATGCCGTTGGGTTTCCTGTAAAGAAAATGAATTCGAAAAAGGGGTACGATGGGTATTGAGATATATGATGTTGACATGAAGTCGTGAAGGTTAAATAAGCAGTATTGCTAGTGGTTCATTGAAATCGCACCCGACAGTTAAGATAGGATGTAAAGCCAGGATATCTGCATCTTTGGATAGTCTTAGTAGCTGAAGAATTAATGCAGTCTACCTCAACCACAATCATGAAATAAGTCATTCGAAGTTCACGATATATCGATGCAATCGACGTTTGAGTGAACAAGTGAAATAGAAGCTTCAAGTGAATGATCTGGCGAGGATTCCATTGCATAAAAGTTACAACTCTGTAGTGGTAGAAGCAAATGGATATGAAAACATGACTTGCATTGAAAAGAATTGTCAAAACTATATAGAATAAGTGAGGCGACTACTTTTCAAAAATGCAATCAGAATGCCCATGATTTTACTTTAGTATGAATTTGGACAACAAATCGTGGCTTAGAAATATATTTTAGGTAGAATATCGATGCAGGCAAGCATACAAGGAGTTTGACGATATGGTTACTTTTGATATGACATATCTCACTAATAAGTACGACATGACTTTCACCTCATTTGTTGGCATCAATTATCACAGACAATCAACTCTATTTGGTTGTGGTTTGGTATCGAATGGAGACATAGATACTTTTGTGTGGTTGTTCAGGACATAGCTTCAGTGCTTGTATGGTGAAGCTCTACATGGAATAATTACTGATCAGGATAGGGCAATACAAAATGCGATTCAGATTGTTTTCCCAAATACGAAGCATAAATGGTGCTTGTAGCATATTTTGAAGAAGTTACCTAAAAAGTTTGAATACCATGTTGATAAGGGTTCGATATTTAGAACTATACAAGGATTAGTGTATGATCTACAGTCCAGTCAAGAATTTGAAGACAGTTGGACAGCGATGATTGATATATATGGCTTGTATGAAAATGATTGATTGTCCGGATTATACAAGAATTGAAGGCGTTGTGTTCTAGTTTCTTGAAAACCACTTTCTGGGCAAGGATGTTAACTACACATAGAAGTGAACGTATGAATGCATTCTTCAATGACACATTGAAGCAGTTTGTCGACTAGTATGAGCGTGTCCTGGGTAAAAAAGTTGAGAAGGAGTTCCAAGTTGATTTCAAATCATTTTCCCAAATGGTTCTGTGTGCAACATAATTTGAAATGGAGCAACAGTATCGGTCAGTGTACACCAATGCTAAATTTAGGAAAAGTCCAAGAGGAGTTCACGGGGGAAAGGTTTACTGCGATGTTACACAGAAGAAAATGTTGATACGAGGTACGATGTATGGGAGACTATTATGTATGAGGAATGTCGCAGGAGAAAAACATTCCACGTCTCATTCATGAGAGAGAAATGTGAAGTTGTTTGCAGCTGCTATTTGTTTGAGTTTCGGGGGATAGTTAGTAGGCATGCGATCACAGTGTTGATCTGGAATGACTCTAAACATATTACAAATAGGTATATTCTTAGAGATGGAGAGGAGACGTCAGTAGAGCACACGTGAGGATTGCAGTGACCTACGATAAATTAGTTAGTACTCATGCACAGTTGAGATATGACGAGATGTCAAAGGGTTTTGCGCAGGTGTCATACCTTGCTACAGATGATAAAGTGAGGTCAATAATAGTATGGTTGATGGCGGAATGAATTGTTAACCAGTTCACCAATATCCCATGTTGACCCCATTATCATATTGGGACCACTCCATGCCGACACCTTTCGCACTTCCACAACTTTCAATGATTACATCGTTCTCCCTTCCACAAAAATTATTGGCTGCAAATTTCATCCATCCATTCACGGGAAATGTTATGTTTAGTTTGGAAGGTATAATTATGTGTTCACGCATGAGTTTAAACGTCATTTGTTTCATGAATGCGTTACTAACTATTTTATATGGTAATCGATTATAGTTCAAGCATTACCGTTCTACCATCCAAAGTCATTTGATAAAACTGGCAGAAGAGTGTGATGAGGTGTGTAATGTTAGGAGTGTGGTCTATGTTTTACCAACTTGTTAGATTTAATTTTCTGTAGTAGTTAATTGTTTTATGAAATAATTTTAGCTAAACAGTTTGAAGCAGTTATCTTGATGCTTTCAATACTTGGTTATCCATTACTTGCTATATGGTATTATGTAAATTTAGTGGTGTTTTCAACAGTGTTTTCATCCATTATTTGCTATATTGGTAAACCAAATTATTCTAACTTATGGCAACATTCGTACCATTGGCATTTAGTAGCGGACGAGTTAGTGAGGCACAATCAAACTTAGCAAAAAGATGATGGAAAAATTTAAATATTCGATATCTTACTACAATTATTCTCTACGAGTTCTCATATTTTGATAACGTTCCATAATTGCGTCATTTTCAATATTGTCAAATACATATTTCTCAATATATGCAATCAAACTATCATTCAACCATTGATCCCCGATTCGATTACGTAAATGATTTTTGACAACTGACATCGCAGAAAATGCTCTCTCGACTGTAGTAGCAACCACTAGAAGAACTAAGGCTGATGTCACAAGCTTGTAAACTAATGGATAAACTTCATGTTGGCTAGAGCTCAAAAGATTTTCCCTTCCAAATTCCAATTGTTGACAACGTTGAATCGTTTAAGAGGGGATTAAGGGACGGCAATGCAGACGAATGGTTTTCTGACTTTTCCTTTTGTGTTTGATTTTGTAACAATTAATTGGCTTTTCGATTGTTAGTCTTCTATAGTTTTACGTTTAAAAAAAATTAATATTAAAAAAAATTGGTGGGTCACAAGTCCAACAGTAGATCTGCCCCTGTCAGCGCCAACATATTAGTAACAAGAAACGGGCAAACAATTATATACCTGGAAATGGAACAATTTTGTTATAACTGGAAGTGCTCTCATAGGGTAATCAAAAGTGAAACTAGAAGTCATAAAATCCAATAGCTAATGGAATACAACGCATTCAACTGATAAATACAAGGCATTGAAGTAAAACGTTTCCATGTTAAGCTGGCCATTCCCGTTTTGTACTGACTTCTATGGGTTTTTTCCCACTCAAACGCTCACATTCACCGATATTTGGAGCTCTTCTTCGTCACTTATCCAAACTCTAGAATTGAGGCCGTTCATCAAATTATTAAGGAAAGTAGCGCTATCGCGACTAGATTCGCCTTTTTTTTCTTCTTTTATAACCCACTTCCAATAGCCACAATTCTGACTACATCATAGGAATAATTTTCCCTTATTAGTAATATCCTTCTCGACCACAAAGCATTTCTCGAATCCACGATGACATTGGGTAGGGCTGTAAGCAAAAATCGAAAAATCGAATCGAAACCGCATTTTAGAAACCGTCGGTTTGGTGTCAAGTGGACCCGATCAACAAAATGGTTTTGACCCAAACCAAACCGGTCAAAATGGTTTGGTTTATATTTGAGAATTTAAATTGAGATTTAAAACCAAACCAGACTGGCGAAAAAATATATAAAAATAAAAAAAATGAAAAAATGAAATTTTTTGAAAATTCATTCAAATATGTAAAATTCAATAGTTTTATCATTTGTGAGTATTTTTGTCAATTCTAATTTTTTAATACAAATATATTATTATTATTATTATTATTATCATCATCATCATCATCCAATAATCCTAATATATATTTAATAATTTCAAGATTAACATAATCTATTAAAAGCCTTTTTTCTCTTCAAAATTTAGATGAACTCCAGTCGACACCCAACACAGTTTTGAGCCACCGGCACCACACACTTCTTTTTCAGATTTTTCACACCTCTTCAAAGTTGAATTAAAGTCCATTATAACAAATCGGAGATAAAGAGATCCTAAACCTTCGGTGATAATATTTGCTACAAATAAAGTTTCAGATCAATAATTTTTTGGAGCAAACTAAGATAAGA